CTGGGCCCCGCGATACCTGTGTTAGGAGCAGTGTGTGCAGATGAATGTGTGTGTACAGGTGTGTGTGTAGGGTGGGCCCTGGGCCCTGTGGTACCTGTGTTAGGAGCAGTGTGTGCAGATGAATGTGTGTACAGGTGTGTGTGCAGGGTGGGACCTGGGCCCCGTGGTACCTGTGCTAGGAATAGTGCATGCAGATGAATATGCGTGTAGAGGTGTGTGTGCAGGGCAGGACCTGGGCGCTGCGGTACCTGTGCTAGGAATAGTGCATGCAGATGAATATGTGTGTGTGTGCAGGGTGGGACCTAGGCCCTGCGGTACCTGTGCTAGGAGCTCTCGTGAAGGGCCTCATGGCACATGGGCTGCCAGACTGTGGGTGCAATGAGACCCTGAGCTGCACCCTGCAGGAAATGGCGGGTGGGAGCTGGAAATTCTGCGGGAGAAGTCACCCTGTGTTTGCTCTTGCAGGGAAGCCTGTCTCAGGAGAACTGGGCCGATCACGTGCGGGTGAGTCCCATGGCCTGGCTGTCCACCAGACACTCGGAGAGCCTTGCTCGGTCTGCAGCACAGGCCTGTGATGTCCAGGGGAGGCCATGTGCCTGTGTGTATGTGTGTGTGTGTGTATGTGTGTGTGTATGTATGTGTGTGTGTGTGTATGTGTGTGTGTGCCTCTGTGTGTGTGTGTGTACGTGTGGGGTGTGTGCACCTTGTCTTAGTTGGGTTCTCTAGAGGAGCAAAACCAGTGACACACACACACACACACACATATATATAAATAGAGGAATCAGTCTCTGAAGAAGGACATCATGCTTGGTAAAGTACAGGGTCAGCAAAAAAGAAGACCCTCAATGACATGGACTGACACAGTGGCTGCAACAATGGGCTCAAGCATAACAACAATTGTGAGGATGGAACAGGACCGGGCAGTGTTTCGTTTTGTTGCATATGGGCTTGCTATGAGTCAGAACTGACTTGATGGCACCTAACAACAACAGCAACATAGAGAGATTTACTTCAAGGAAATGGCTCACAAAATTGTGGGGGCTGGCAAGTCCCAAATCCATAGATCAGGTGGCAGGCTGAAGACCTCTGCTGGTTGATGGGATTGTAGGGGCTGGCAAATCTGAAATCTATAGGTCAGAGAGCAGGCCAGAAGCTTCTGCAGGGTTATATCCCAGAAACTGGAGGGCAAGTGACGAGAAGAGTATAGGGTTGAAAGGGAGAGAGAGCAAGCTCTGCGAAAACATCCATTTGTATTGTGGAGGCAGACCATACCCCCAAGGGAACTCCCCTTTCAACTGTTTGGTTGATCACATCAGATCACATCATGGAAGGTAATTATGTTACATTACATCACCAATAGCATCCCATCACCATCCCATCCCATCATCCCATCCTCCCATCTTGTTGTCCCACCAACATCAACGTCAACATCACCATTCCTGTCCCATCATCTAGTCCCATCATCCCGTCTGTCTTAGTTATCTAGTGCTGCTATAACAGCAGCCACAAGTGGATGGCTTTAACAAAGAGAAATTTATTCTGTCACAGTCTAGGAGGCTAGAAGTCCGAATTCAGGGGTCAGCTTTCTCTCTTTGTCAGCTCTGGGGGAAGGTCCTTGTCATCAATCTCCCTCAGTTGAGGAGCTTTTCAGGGCAGGGACCCTGGGTCCAAAGGACGCACTATTTTCCTGGCTCTTATTTCTTGGTGGTATGAGGTCCTCTTGTCTCTCTGCTTGCTTCTCTCTTTAATATCTCAAAAGAGATTGATTTAAGACACAACCTAATCTTGTAGATTGAGTCCTGCCTCATTAACATAACAGCCTTCAATCTTGCCTCATTAACATCATAGAGGTAGGTTTTATAATACATAGGAAAATCACATCCGATGACAAAATGGTGGACAATTATACAATACTGGGAATCATAGCCTAGCCTAGTTGACAGGTATTTTGGGGGGACACAATTCAATTCCTGACACCATCCCATCGTCACATCCCATCATCCCGTCCCATCAGCCCATCCCATCATCCTGTCCCATCATCCAGTTCCATCATTCCATCCCATTATCCCATCCCATCATACCATCACCATCACCTCATCACCTCATCACCATCACACCATCATCACATCAACTCATCATCCCCATCAACATCACCATCATGTCATACCATCACATCAACCCGTCACCTCATC